AAAAGGACTCGCCCGTGAGGAGGCAATTTTTCACCGGCGCGACAAACGCGAGCGAAGGACGAAAGCTTTATCACTCGTAGGTAGGGAAGTAGGGCCATAAATTCGGAAACGCTGAAATTTTCATAGAATACCGATCACACCGTAGCTCACGTCTATAATCGGCCCGCGTTTATCGCCACTCGAATCGCTCGTTATCACGCGCACGCAAGTAATTTTTCTCGCACGCGCGCCCGCCCGCCCGACGCAATTTACGATTAACGCGACGTTTTTCGCGGCGGCGCGGTCGCGCGGCGCTCTCGCGCGAATCCGCGGCCGATCATCTTCATCAACGTAACACGCGCTCGGGATAAAGCCCGCTCTCGTCCGGGAAAGTATTATATCTTCTTCACGGACATCGAAGCTGCACTCTTTCGGTATAATTTTGTCATTAAATCCCCCTCGCGCTTTTTGCACACCCTCTCACCCTCCCATCGCTTGCTGATAAGTTGGAAGTGAGAAAGCGAAAGGCAGGGGCGGATAAATGAGTCTTCGGTTTCTGCAGCTATTGAAACTTTCGAAATTTCTAGCGGGAACGAACAAAGAGGCGCGGACAAAAATCTGTCTCTTCATCTTATCTCACGTTTATTATGTTTCCGACTTGCGTCCAATCAAACGCTCAATCCTCTGCGGCGATTCCGGCACAGATTATGTGGATCACGCGTTCGCAAAATTTGTCTGTCTTCCTGAACAACGTCTAAGATCGCGGCTTTCGAATCTCCACCCTTGACTTATCCCCTCACTTTTACCCCGAACTCGGACCAATCGACAAGTGAGATTAATTCCTCGGTGCTCCTTGACAAGTCGGACCGCCAGAGCTTGAGTCTTATTAAGTCTCCGCGTAGGTACGCCCCTGACGGGCAGGGACGAAAGACGAGAAGCCGGTCAAGCGGCCGGAGGAGGACGAGGAGTAGGACGAGGACCGCGGATCCGGCGATGATAATGATTCCGACGATGATAGACGGCTCGTTATTACTATACGCGTTCGCGCGAGGAAGGGAGGGAGACAGGCGGCCGACGTGTTCGTGTTTTAGAGCTGGGAGCGATTGGTCGACGCCATTACTTACACCGTTTGCGCCTGCCACATGGCCCGATAGGTCTCTTCTTATCCTTACCTTCTCCTTTCCTCCATACCTCCCTCTCTCGCCCTCCCCGACGCCACGCTCGCTTCTGCCGGCCTCTCTTTTTAACCCTTCGGTCGTCTCTCTTCCTCCTTCTTTCTCTCTCTTCTTTTCCCGCCTTTTCCCGTTCCTCGTCCCTCTGCCTGCCTTCCTTGACTACTCTCTCTTTCTCATGCTCTCTTCCTTCGCTCGATATTCTTCGGTTTGCTTCTTCCATTCTCTATCCTCTTCATCATCATCATCATCATCATCTTCTTCTTCTTCTTCTCGCCTTCCTCTCCCTGTTTCTCTTGCCCTCCGGTTCTGACTTTCAAGCGCGAGATCTGACGGCTGTATCGTACCTCCTTAGGGCGCGTATTTTATTTGGCGCGCCCTTCAATTACCTCGTACGCAATTCGAATGAAGAAGAACAATTGCTATATTAGATGCTCGCCGGGCGGCGGCTGTGTTAATACATTTTACTCGCGACGATCGCGGCCGCTTGATGCAGCGATTTATTATTTTCTTCGAGGCGCGCAGAGCGAGGAGAGAAAGAGAGAAAGAGAAATCGGCAAGCCTGTTGCACGCCGATAGCTGTTGCGCGCGATGAGTGTATTTCGTTCTTTCGGTCGAGAGAAATTCGTATATTGTTGACCACCAAGTCACGTGAGGACTCGTGTTTTGCTAGTCGATTGCTTTTCTGTCGGTTCACGAGTTATCTTATATTCGGATGACAGTCAAAACAAAGCCGGTGACATTGATAGAACAAGATTTGAAGACAGTTGGTGAACAGTTTAGAACCAAATTTAAAAATTGAAATCAAATCCATCTGCATATATCCATTTTGGGAAATTCATCAAATCTCTACACGGAGAACAATATTACTTCTATTGCGAGGAAAAGCAATTACTTAGTTTTTAATTTCCTTTTTTGAAATAATCGTCTTGAATAAAGGATTTTGTCCTGATAATAGTATTAAAATATACTCATCTCAAATATTAGAAAAGTTCATTTCCATTTACTCAAAAGAAAGATTTCTATCCTCTGTTCAAGAATATTATAAACTTTATTAAAGAAAAGTCAAACTCGGTTGATAAATAAGAATCAGTCGCAAGTAACGGGGAAGCGGAGGAAATAACCATTTTCACGCGAAATCGCCAAGGATCGCCGATCACGTGACCTCTCTCTCTCTCTCTCTCTCTTTCTTTTCTTCGCGACCTCTTCACCACAGCCGGAAGGCCCGCGTTAACACGTGCACACGCACGTGGAACGCGCGCACCAATTGACGGATGGCCTCGACGAATGCGCCGATATCGATTTGCGATCATCAACCGGTATGTAACCAGGGTTCCTCTCGTCCGGCTGTTGGCCGTCACCGCGTCGGTGCCCATTGGTGAGGCATGATGCGACATGACAGTCGGTTTGTACGCGACATTATGAAGATGTCCCCGACGTGCGGGGCGAAACGACGAGGAAGACGACGACGGCGTGCGAAGCATTTACGAACATTTCTATACGCCGATCCGTACACGTATATGCGACGGCGCGAGATACGCACGTGCGTGTGCACGTGTGCACGGGTGTGCCGGCGCGGGATCGCGCGAGTGTGAGGTCGGCACACCGACATAACACGCATTATCTGATGGCGCTGACATACGTCTTCGCTGTCAGCCGATCGTTAAGGGAACAATCAGAGTCGCCCGGACGCATCGGCCAGGTTGGCCCTCTTCCCATCTCCTTTTACCTTACTTCTCCGTCCCTCCCTCTACGTTCTCTTCCTTTTGTCTCGGGTATTCTCTGTGTGCCCCCTTGTGAACACGATCGATATTATAATTGACATTTTCTCGGCTCCGAACAAACGGGAGACGGCAAAGTGACGCGTGATCGCAGGTAGAACGGAAAATGACCTTGAAATAGCGTCGAAGTGACGTCGAGATGACGGGGAAATTACTATAAAACTCATTTCTTCAAAATTTCGACGTCATTTTCCGTTCTATCTGAGGTCGATCGTGAGTCATCCTTCAGTACAGTGCATTTCAACTCGTGAAGAGTCAATTCTGTGACTGGAGAGCATTTGAAATGCTCATTTCCACGAGTTCCACAGTAGAGGAAGAAATTCATGACAGCCCTTCTCCCTTCTCTTCTGAAATACGTCGTGTCCGAAGGTACAACGGGTACGGTAGGGCGATGGAAAGGTCGAGAGGATTAAGCTTCCCATCTTTTTCAAGCTCGTCTCGCGTTATTGGATTAACGTTAGTCAGCAGGGACGCGAAACGAACGAACGAACGAAAAGAGCGGCCGATGAGATGCGGTGAGAACGGTCGGGCCACAGTTCGGCGACTATTCCCCGAATAAATCTGCTAAAAGCTTCACTTACCCCCGATATATCTCAATGATTTCGAAATTTAGGGTTTTCAATAATTTTTCAATACGCCCGCGGCGACACCCGCGCGCCCCTCCGCAGACGCGCGAAGGGATATACGACCACTTACATCCCCCAGGTGCTCCGCCACTCGTGCAAACCGCTCCTTTATTACGTGACAATATTGCGAACGCTTCTTGCGGGCAATAATGCGCCTTAAGATCCGCGCCAGATGTCACCGCGGGATAGCGGGTCATATACGAGACCGAAATCTCAAATATTAGCGGAATCGAGGATGGGAACACATCCCCCTCGGCAATATCGCACTGTCCGACATCGTTCCGTTCTCTCCCGCGCGCTCTTCTATCTCGTGAATATCCGCCGACAACACGTGCGCGAAACGGCTTATAAAACTTTTCGCGAACATCGCGTCGCGTCACGAACGGAATTGCCCGGCTGCGATACTTTTTTTTTTCTCGCGGTCGCATCCGACGCGATATTCTGGGGTTTGATATATTGCTAATATATAAATAAGAGAAATATATTTGTATTTATGGTAATGTATTCTGTAGAGGTGAAAAGTTTCCCCTATATGAAAAAAGGAAAAGTACTGAACAGACTTAGGATATATTTTTCTATATTCTGAAAATTAACGAAGGAACGTCGTGTTTTGCAATGTCTGAAATCTACTGCGCAATGTGAATGAAGTGAATAAGCTGTATGCATAAATTATCTCTCTGTGTTATTGTGCATACAGAGGGCTTCTCAAGTAAAGTATCTTCATATCATGGGAAGCAAATGAAAAATATTAGATTACATTAAATATTATATAGACTTTTACGAATATTAACTGGCTTCTGTGTAAATCTGTATAATTGATGTAAATATAGTGTGCAGAAAAAGAATGCATTCGTTCAGTGGAACAAAGAACAATAGTGTCCATTAAATATTTCAACCGAAGAAAAAGATATCGTGTTAACTTCATTATTCTTTATAAAAATTATCGAAGATTATCATTTTTTATATCGCTATTCAATATTTTCATTCAGCTTTTTTACCTTATTCGTGGTGTCGTGTGCGGAGATCCACATAATCGACGTGCTACCTGATATCCGTCGATGGAAGACTGACATAAACCAACTGATGATACCTTCAGCCTACAAGTCCAACCGGACCTGCAATCAATAAACATGTAATTATACTATGACTAGATACTCCAAATTATATTTTTCGCTATCTACTTCTTTTTTTCTCCATCTATACACTTGTAGTTGCACCAGTGAGGAAAAATTTATTTGTCCATCATCGTTCGTCGATAAAGTCAATTCCTTACTTACTATCACATCTTTCTCTTCAAATATTAGCCTTGTTCTTTCTAGCTACAACAGGACTATTTTGTTTAACAAAAAGACGCTACAGCGTCGGCATTTCTCGCATCAGTGCAGGAGATTTGCGTTGAGAAGAACAAATTCTTTATAATTCCTGATAAAATGCCAGGGAGGTATGCTGTGATCTTAATGTATTTATTTTCTTTCTTTTACATGAATTATGTATATACATGTCGATTCAGTTTTTCGAGCTCAATTAATACAATACACCCATATGACCAATTTTCTCACAACGTCATGATTATTTCATTCAGGGTAATGAGATAAAAAGAAGTGGTACCTTCTGATAACGTACGGCTGAAAATTATCACTTCACAACGCGAGCTATCACGTAGCACACCCTACTTCTAAGCAGCTTCATCACATTGTCAATTCCTGAAATGATGGAACAAAGAAATAACGAGTAAGTCTTCAATTCCTGTAACGTCGAACATATACACATTTGTGACAGAAAACAAATCAGTCTGCCAAGAAGCTCAACATTTCTATATTCTGATCGTAAAAATATAATTGCGAAACCTTTTGACAAAATCATCATATTGCTATAAAAACAGATGTCTAAGCATGATTAAGAAAAAAAAAAACGAATATTTATTCTAAAACTCACCATGATAGCATTAACAATGTCATTTTGATTATTCTTAAGAGCTTTAATAGCTTTCCCTCGTGAAACGTTGGCTTGACACATCACCAAGTCAATGTCCTTCTCCTCCACGCCTGTTTCATCCACTTCTTCCTCAGATTCCTCTTGTATAGGGGCAACAACCTTTTATGACGAAATAATGCTTATTGAGTAATGTTACATGTTAAACAATATACAACCGCATTACCAAAACAGACACAACTTACAGTAGTGCTACCACCAGCTTCGGTCGCTGGTACAACTGGTGGTTCCTTGAACTTTTCAGCAGCTGCCACTTGAGCTTGCTGACTGAGATCCTCAATCTGTGAAAAGATTGTTCACCATACATGAAACACGCATTTACATGAAGCCGGTACAGAGACAAATGATTCTTAGATATAAAATCAGTCTGCCAAGGTATTTCTCAACAATGGATTTCTGCTTAATAAGCGAAACTTTGATAGATCATCATCACAATACAAAAATTTCAATCAATATGTGATACCTATTGTTGAATACAATCGGAATCAAGTTTCTTACCTTAGCTTCGCCAAACACTATGTAGGTATCTGAAGCTGGATTCTTCAAGACATCTGGTTTATTTATAACAAACAGAATGTTCTTTGATTTACGAATAGTGACTCTGTTGACTCCTTGCACCTGTGTGCGAAAACATTGTTTTACATGTAGGAGAACCGAAATTCTCACAAAGAAAACTAAAAGACGTGTAAATCAGTGTAATTTATATTACCGGCTTCAATCCCAACTTGCTCATCAGTTTCCTAGCCTTCTTCTCGCCACGGCTTTGTTTAGCTTTGGAAACCATATCAATTGGAAGTCCAGTGACAGTTGTGCCGGGGAAGCTGACAGTACCGGGAGTGCCAGCATCTTCCAATTCAGGTATCGTGTCATCTGAATCTGAATCAGTCGCTGAACCGATACCCACCAGCTCCACCTTAGTAGGCTCCGAGCTGGCTGCCTTGTCAAGTTCCGTCAATTCTGGCATCTTCACAGGGCTGCGAACAAGAAGACAAATGTATCACGATTCCTTCCCGACTACGCGAACGAAAATTCGATCTTTGGTGAAGGACACTCGAGTCCACGTGCCGGATTCGTGAATCATGCCTGAATCACGTCAGTGACTACTTTTTTTTTTTTTGACAAAACCTTCGGAAATTTGCGTCGAAAAACCGCGTGTTCGACCTTTCTTAACGTAAAGCCAGCCTCGTATCAACGAACGAATAGCGTGACGCGGCTCCTTCCACGAGCATCGCGTTATAGACAAATGGAAGTTGTTATGGCGTCCGCGATCGAGTCGTCGAAGAACAATTCGGCGAACACGTTGAGATATGTCGCACTTCTGCAATTTTCAAACAACTCACGGCGCACGCGTTACGATGCGTCGCTCCGAGCGAGGATATCACGTCGCGATTCACGTGAATTACGTCGGTCGAAACCTTTCCCATCCCGGACATCCGACAACTTTTCGGAGCACGCTACAAAACTCCGCGGTGACCAAAGTTCGGCTGAGGCCCGAACGCGCTCGCGCGCATATCGATGACAATAGGACGTACCGCGCGATATTTATCGCGCAGATATCACAATTAACGGCCGATCCCGCGATATTTACGCGTTTTACCGAACATTACGCGGTGATGGCTGAGAAATCGTTAGATTTACCTCTAACGACGGCGCGCTGACCAAGTGCTATTATTTTCGCCGTAAAGACTGTGAGCCTGCCTGCGCCTGTGCGCGGTGCGACTGCAGCGCCATCACTCTTGGAAATGCCGCCGTAGCCTCGCCAAGCAGTCGAGGGCGGAAAAGTGCATTTTTTTCCCGATGAGTTTCGTAACGCACGCGGAGACACCCAATCGGAGAACGCGACTATCGAGTGATTTTCACAAAATAAATGTTACTTCCACGGCTTGATTCTTGAATTATTCGTAATTATTTATATATCTAACTTGCGAGTGACGTCCAATGAGCGTACTGCTTTCACGGAAAAATAGTACATTAGTTAGATATCGTTCGCAACTTGCGTGTACGAATAATTGCAAACGATTCGAGAATCGAGATCGCCTCTGATACCGAATACGCTCCAAGACTCGTTTGATTTATCGCCTCAGATCGTACTAATTAAAAAAATAACGGTCGGCTGAACCGCCGTTTAGTCGTGCCACTTGAGAGTAAAAAGTCCGCACGACTCGCCGTCGAAACACTACGACCGTTGAAACATGATTTATTATCACAATATTGCTTAATATACAAACCATCTGTATTAAATAATTTTCCATGCGGAAACTGATGTTATAAAACATACTTCTTCTTTTTTTTTTCTTTCGCTTCCTCGGCTGCATTAGCGTAGCGCGTCTCCATACGTTCCTCGCACTCGCGCTGCAAGTACTAATTCATGATACGAATTAATCTTGTTGAGGCTTCAGCATGATATCGATACTTTGTGGGGCTGCGACATCAAGTAAGTTTATGGTGTCAGGCGCTCGGTAATTCGCGGAATGCGCAGCGGATAATCTGTCGTTGTCCGCCTTCGTCTCGGAGTTCAAGAACTTGCAGCACACGATATACCAGAAACTTTGTACAATATTCTTAATCAGTCCTGCAAATTCGGGTAGTTCGGTAATTCGATTGCTTAGCATAGTAATAATATCTTGTCGGGCAAGACGAGTGTTGTGTGCTTTTGCGAGTATTTACCGCTTGTAACGAAAATTCCGCCCACAGTGGCGCACAATTTCACTAAAAACTGAAAGATCGTGTCGCGTTGCTGGGTTACTTTAATTTTAAGCGCACTCATGTCGTATTTGATAAAAATTCCCGGTACCCCGTGGGACCCTTTGTTATGGTCAATCGGCCTCTGGTGATCCTTGACACTGTATTGGTACGTCTTGGATGTACTCAACAATGTTCTAATATCCGTAGGGACAACTTCCACGAAATATTGGTACAGCATCATGTCTGAAACGGGGAAAAATCTCGTTGCGTACGTATACATACGAGAACCATCATTGCATCCATACCATTTGGTCTCTTCTTTTTAGCTGAACTGGCTGCACTGGTTCAAGAAATTTACGTACGCATTGAAGCGCACGTACGAGATTCTCACTCGCTTCAGTGTGTGCAAATTTCTTCAATTAACGCGGCAAGTTCAGCTAAAGAAGACAGACAGACTGAATTGTTTGTTTGAACGTCGTGCGATTAAATCATCACTTACTATAGTCTGCAATTTTCTCATCGCCTTCCAGAGGATGCACGATACCCGGACTAGGGCCGCCGAAAGAAAATCTGTTGATTCGGTGAGTAAAATTATAATCTCGGTCGGTCATAAACGCGGAGATATGTATATGACCACGAGGCACACTCAGAGACTTTCCGGTGGTTATATGGAAGTTTCCCGCGACCTTATTTACATTTATACTGCCGTGAATGCGACAGGCGTTTGGCGGGTAATCAGGCTCATAAGATCTGAGGAGCGTGAGACATCATGTACATCATGTAAACCGACACGAACACCTATTGAAGAATAACTGCACATACCGCTTTGGCATTTCGCTGTAGAGAGTAACTTGATTGGATTTCCAAAGCAACTCGTGAATAGCATGATACTCCTCCCTCAAGTACGAATTCATGTGTTTCAGAGCTTCAAAATGGGCCCTTTGCTCCTGCGTCAATTCCCACCACGTGTCCTCTTCCTCCAGGGAATCGTAGCCGAACACGTCTTGTTCTGTGGAGTCCAAGACATCCGCGCCAATACGGCCGCATGGCATCGCCACTGTTATGTCGATGTTCATTTGCAGTTTCGCGTCAATTTCAGTGTCCGTCTCGAATTTGAATTGTAATCTGCTATCGAGGAAGTAGCTTGTTTCGGCTATTATTAAATATGCGATGATGCAGACTGTGAAAATGGAAACTGGAACACAAGTGGAAAAAGAGGAAGTTAACCGATTGTCTGTGAATTTCTTCCTCTTTCTTCTCTTCAGATGAGAATAAAAAGGCACCAAGTGGTTGTTTGCAAATGCACGTTAGACAAGCTCCGGCTTACACGTTCCTCCAACCGCGGTCTTGTCGACGTACAACTCGGGCACTTTGGGGAACGCGTCCAGCTCTTTGACCGTCTTAACGTTGACATGTCGTCGCCTCAGCATTTTGAAGACCGGTCCGAAAATAAGCGTCTACAAATTATTTAATAACACGCATCCACGGGCGACTAACCTATAACAAATGTTTACCACGCTTATCCTCGGGAAAACTCGTGCTCCAGCAACCAAGTGCGTACGGATTATTTACTTGCAACACCGTATTTGCCATCGTATTCACTGCGTTGTCTCAACTTCGGTTAAATAAAAAGAGATAAATACCTCGTACATTTTTGACACGTGGATACGTCTTGACGTGTCACATCTGCACAACAAATACGAAGCTCCGCGCGATATTATCGACACCACCATTATCGGAACTACTGCAGAAAATTTCACCACGGAGATTGCTTCATACATTGAAAGATGGCGCCACAATGCTTAATATAAATGGTATTATGTGAATCAATGTTTCAGTAAAAAAAAAAAAAAAGAAAAAACTTACATCCTTACCATTTTTAGAATTCAATTAAGAAAGGAGAACGATAAAATGATCACCAAACTAAAACAGTTATTGTTATTAATACGTAATAATTTTATTCCATGTACGATAAACGAAAATATTTTTTCTGTTGAATCTATTCAGTTACAATATATTTTTCATGTAAAACAATCTCAAAATGAATAAAACATACAAGAATTTCTTGGATTCATCGTATAGCTTCATGTACAGATTAATTATCAGTTTACAGATTAATTTATAGATTGAACAACACGATCACACAGATTACAAGTCTCCTTCCAACCATTTATTCATGCTGCTTATTACATAGTGTTGTATCAAATATCATTATATCTCATGATAAGCCTAAAGTAAATTAACTTCTATTGTTATATAAAATGCAGCCGATTGTCAATTAAAGTATTTAATTCGCATTCGGACATTGCTTCCTCGGTGAGTTATTATTAACTAATGTTGTTTCCTGCAAACACGATAGGTATGTATTAAATCAAACATACCACTTTATTCATGTTCACTGGCTTCACATTCGTTGGTATTATTTCCTCGACGATTTATTTCTCTGTAATGCTTCACAGTAAACAGGTACATTAACATTTACCTCATCGTCAGAATTATCGACACGACTTCTAGCTTCCCTAAACCTCTGAATGATTCGTTCATGTGGCGACGTTACAACAAGGTGTCGCGGAAATTGGTATTCTTTCTTCGCAGGAGTTAAACCTGAATGAGAGAAAAATCCTCCGATTAGTCCCCGTCTCTCTCTCGTAAATTGAGCGTCACAAAAGCCGGAAATTTACCAGTTGGAGTATCGCGCCGTATATCTTCAAGCAGGAACTTCTCGACCTTTTGTTGCATCGAGCGCACTTGCGTGGTGGTCTTGTCGCTCCATTCAGACGAATTTTCATTTTGAATCTCGATCTTGTCGTTCATACTCGTGGATACCTGTGTATTCCGGTTCCTTAAATTCTCCAGAAGCTTCATGTGGCCGTCATTTCCTTGTAAGAGTATATTATAGATATTCTGTAAAATAAATGTATTAGTACATATGTACATAATGCATCTTGCAGAATTGTAATCAGAGCGATAGAAGTTAGAGATTTACTTTCACGGATGCGGTGGCAGTGGCCTTATCTTCCTTTAATTTCTCCTTCAATTGCTTCATATTTTGTTCAGCATGTAGTTTATTCTTCATTATTATGTCACAATTGTTAGTTAAATCGGTTTCAAGTTCATCGATCGCACTATGGCCCCGAGTCGTAACTTCCTCTGCTAACGTCCAATTCTAAGAACAGAACAACACAAAAGATTAACTTACATGACTCATGTTGATATCAATTTTTAATATATATATAAAAATATTCTTTTTTTATATTTGTTCTTTACAGTATTTATGTCTAACGAAAAACTGAATATTACCGTTTCCATGCCAGATTGAATATCACTCTTCAGCGTGCGTATATCGTTCTGAATCTTCTGCTGCATGGCTTCGTTTCTTTCAACAGACTTTTCGTAATTGGCAAGAATTTCGTTATTCGTGCTGTCGCAAGACACATTAACACGACTTAAGGCGGAACATGCCGAGGAATAGTTTTCAGTCATATTCTCATTCAGTTTGTTGAATTGCAACCATAATTCTTCGAAGGACTGTAGAATATATACGTGTGTGAAAATATAAGAATTAAATACACTAACGAATACTAAAGGCAAATGTCACTTGAATTATTAGTAAACCGTAATGATACCTTCTTAAACGTTTGTTGCTCTTTCATGATCTTAGAATCACCTTCATGAACAATTTGTATATTCTCTTTGATCTCGGTTATACTTTTACACAAACTTTCACATTCTTGCAGTCTATAATTACAAAGCTGACTTATTGATTCATTCGTATATGTTAATAATTTATCCAACTTCTGAGATACGTCTTCATTTAAAAGCCGCAAGTTCATCGCAATTTTATTTTGTATTAAATCGCTGATCTTCGATGTTAGTTTCGAAGATATATCATTTAGAAATTTACATTCACGATCAGTCATATTTGAGGAATGTTCAATCTCTGTGTCCAACCGTTGCTGATAATCCTCGTGCTAAAACAGAGATTATATTATATAATATCTTCATTGAATATTTCCATCTTTTACTAAGTGCGCAGTTTGCTTACCAATGTATCCATGTTCGTTATAAAGTTATCTACTGCAGATTTTTCTTTATTAACGATATCATTGGTCATATGATATATCATCGAATCTATATCTTCTTTGCATTGTTCCATCTGTGCGCCTAAAAGTACCACAATAAAAATACCTCACAGCATTTAGAAAAGCACGCGCTGATCATTTTTTACATACCAATGTCACTTTTCATAGAAGTGCAAAATTGTGTTAATTCCTGTGCGTAAAGCGAGATATTATTTTCAATTTCCTGGAACTGTTTTGCGGTACTGCAGCGGAACTGATGACTGAGATGTTCATTTTCCTGTTCCAATTGTCTGTAAACGTTAAATGTCTTTTACGATAACTTGAACAGTGACATATCAAGATATGGTAGATCGTGTACAATCAATGCTATAACAATTAGTAGGAAATGCATGTGATACAATTACCTTTTGTGAGAAATTTTATCATGAAGCTTGTGTACATCATGTGTCGCCGTATCGGCAACAGTCAAAAGCGTTTGAGCTTGCGAGAAAAGTTGTTTCTCAGTGGATACGTGTTTCTCTATCACGTGGGATTGTTCTTCCTTCTCACGTTCCGTCATTTGTAAGCGTGCGGTAGTCGAGCTCAAAGCATGTGTGGTGGTTTCCAATAACTCCTCGGTGTTGTGTAGCTGACTGGTTTGCTCTATATGCTTCGCTTGTAACTCATTGAATATTTGCTACATAAGAAAATAGAATATTAGCATTTTTTTCATAGAAAGAAAACGCGACAGCGTTACTATAACGGAAGATATTACAAATAAATATCAACATGTATCTCTAAATTAAGTATCACTTCGAATCTACCTCTTTAGCTTCCATTGCTTCTTGGAGCACTTTAATGTGCGATATTTTCTCTTCAATTTCCTTGCTCTGATTTTCAATTAAAATTTGCATCTCGTTGTAATTATCCTGCGCCAAATATACACCATTCCGTTCACGCGACGCCAACAAGTCTCTCCTGAGTCTCTCAATTTCTTCAGTGTACTCTTTAAGCAATGCTTTCTTAGAGAGCTTCTGATTGATCTCAGGGCGATTCGTAATATTTTTGGCCCGATGAGCATAATCTAATGTCGATAATGTCTCTTCAAGATTTATGCTCGCCGGTGAGACTGTTGCAATGATTGACGTCTTTGTGCGTCCGCCTAATGATTCTTGCAGAAGTCTTGTTAATTTTGATTCCCTGGTCAATGTAAGAAGCGAGATAATTATTAATATCTCGGTGTTATAAAATTCTAACATTTCCTCCTAAATTATACACTCCATTATTTGTATAAATCTATATTACCGATATGGTATGTGAGGTGCTCTCTCAACAAGTGCTGTTATAACGCGACCGAGAGTCAATAAAGATTGATTAATGTTTCCAGCTTCTCTCGCTCTCCTGTCAACTGCACCGGATCTTCCAACATTCTCACTCCCAGCTAAATCTACCAAGTTTAATTTCCCCGTCTTCAAGAGTTCCTCACCGTCCATATTGTTCTCTTTTATGTGAATGGTAATTGAAAATACGGTGTGAGAACGGCTGGAAAAGTTAGATAAAGAATGTTAACAAGAGCCAGCAATATAGCGTTTTACCGGACCAATAAATAAGTGAAAGTAACAAAAATATAACTTAAGACAGGAACCTAGACTGAGCATTCATCAGAGTTGCAGCTGTTTGTCTTCTTTCTGATCCTTTCTCAAGAATCTTGTAAACTTCATTCTTGTTATGCACAGTTACTTCTTCCAATCCATGAATAATCACTGAACCTTTCCTAGTAGAATCTTCATATAGCCTGTAATCACAAATATGATATAACACCTGTCTTCTACATTCAATTACTACAGAAACACAGTTATAAGTTACCTTATTTTCGAAGCATCATCACTGGGCGATAACAAATCAAACAATTCTTCATTATATAGCTCTAGAAAGCTGACCCTTACTGTAAATTCTTGTGCTTCCAACAAACGTAACTCATCAAACAAGTGACTCAATGCACGTGGTATAATTCCAGCTGACGTGTCCTGTACGCATATATAAATTATACAGGCATGTGTATATTTGATGTTACACTGCACTTATCTTGACGAGTTACAAACTTACACTTTGCCAATGTAATGTCGGATCATTACTAACACCTTCCATAGTGAACGTTTTCCCTGTACCAGTTTGGCCATAAGCAAATACCGTACAATTGTATCCAGCCAAAACTTCTTCAAGCAATGGGTTAACGACTGCATTATATACATCTATCTACAAGTTTTAGATACAATATTATTTCTTTCAACCGTGAGCATTTTTCTTTCAAAATATATATCTAAAGTAGAAGTTTCTTGTTTTTGCTAAACAAAGAAATGCTGTGTCTTTATATACCTGTTTGGATATGGGTCCAAACACTTTGTCAAATGTAAACTTTCTCGAATGTTTGTCTAGTGGCCTTTCACGCACCACTATTTCTTTATTAGACGGTAACTCCAATACTGAGAATGATTTCCCAACTTTCTCACTATTATTTATTGGTCTGTTGAGAGGAAAGAACAATTATATCACATAAATATGGATCAATGTCGATGTAAAGAAATAAAAAAACAAAGGGATAAATGTACGACAATACTGAACGCAATTGTCATTTCATGCATTTTATATCCATGCATAATAAAGCAATTCCAACATCATCAAGGAAAATAAGAATCGAAATTCTGAAGAAGTGACTCAACACGTGTCTTTATACACACGAGATTCAGTTTCCTCCTGTTAAACGTCAGTCAGCGTCGTCTTCGGATGATTGTTATTGCTTACCTAACGCGTGCAAAAACCTGTATGTGCTGATTCTTCTCCTTCTTACTGTTACGTATATCGTTCATCTTGGACGGCTATCCTACAGCACAATTCTCGTAACCTGACGTTTTCTGATACGCTATGATACAATTCTTACAATTTCACGTTTGTCACGACAGAACAATTCACTTCATATTCCCCGTCCGCAACGAAAAGTCGAGTAAACCATCCGTTGAAGATTTGAATCGAGCTGTTTCACGTGACCGTCGACAGGTGGCGAAAATGCTACATGATGCGCAGCAGGAACAAAGCGCTTTATAAAACAGTTGGTGATTCGAGGAAAATGATTGGTGCATACTTTTCGATCCGCTCAGCGGATTGACTAATTAGCGACGTTGCGTTTCACCAAGTGCAGCCATTGGATGGAATTTTAAATGAACAACGAAGAAATGGGGAACAAAGCGGCAATGCTCTGTGGCGCGTGATTTGAACTGAAAGAATCTTCAGTTCTTTATTCTCGAAAATACTCATTCATTATAGGAGTTTAAAGCAATTTACATGGCAACTTCGTTATTTTTTATAAAATAATAGTAATTCAATAGGATACTCTTTTATAAAGAAGAAGAAAAGTAACAGTACAAGATAAAAAATTTCAATACGTATTCTTATGTTTTATTATGTCTTCATTATTATGTTCCATGATGAATGTGAACAGGTGTGTTCATATTTACACATTTATAGTACACTCGGATCTGTGGATCTCCACAGATTTGGTTCAATGTTTTTGGCTCCACAGATTTGGTTCAATGTTCAGTGCTTGGCAGTGCTTTTTGTTTGATACATATATACATATGGTATTTCATCGGAGTTTCTTTCGAATTACAAATGTATTATTCTATTTCATATGTTTCTTATAATGAGCTAGTTCATCAATACTCTCTTTTATATCATCCAGCGCCCTGTGTTTTAATTTTTTCGTAGGTGCAGCTGCGTGTATACTCGGATCCCACCTTCTAAAAATGATAAAAGTTTACTTACATGACCATATCGTTCCATTATGATTGCTCTAAATATTTATAGCACAATAAATTACCAATTTCACTTGCATTGCATAAAAAAAGAACATCAGCACTACAGTTTATTGATACAAAAGTAGGAGAAACCAATTATACCTGTAAAGTTCCTTGACTGAGCTAACATCGATGATTCTGAAGTGCAAATATTCATGCACCAATGGCATGTACTTGTATAAGAATAAACGATCCATATAGATTGTGTTCCCAGCCAATGGGCATTTACCTTTAGGAACATATTTTTCTAAGAATTTGAGCACTTTCAGTTCTGCTTCTTTTAGTGAGATTGTGCTTGAGCGACAATCATCAACCAATCCACTCTAAAATCATCATGTCATTTTCTATAAACCATAAAATTAAAGAACATTCGTTATTATTTATGTGGGATCAAACTTACAATTTTATGGTGTTCCATGCACCATTCGTTCATATTTCTTAAAATTATATCTGGTTGATGTATCACAATATTTAACTCTTCACTGATAATTCGTAATGTTTTGTCTGTTATGATACAGGCAATTTCTAATATGTGATCTTTCTCAATATCAAGTCCAGTCATCTGTAAAAATAAAATATAATCAACTTATAATTTCAGATATGATCTTTTGATATGTCTCCCTATCATAATTGAAATGAGATATTAAGTCTGTTTTCTATTGCTGCACTAGTTGCATTAGTTCTTCTTTCTTTCACACCAAATCTCAAGAGAGAAAGAGAGAGTGAGAAAGAGAGAAAGAAAAAAAAGAGAACTAGTGCAAGCTAGTACAGCCAGTGCAGCAATAGAAAATAAACCTGTTGTACGCAAACATACCTCCAAATCCATCCAAATAATATTGTAGAACGCCATTCTCCGTCTATGATATTGTGATGATTATGATATTGAACAATAAAATTAATTTTCTTACTTTTTAATTTTTTAATTTTATTATAGAAATTGAAACACTTAACGTTTTTTGTATACTTTAGTTATTCTCACAATTTTCCTTGCCTGCTCTGGAACTTTTCTGCAACCAAGCGCACACGAATGTAACGGCCAACCTAACCTCAAATCACATGTTGGTTTGAAAGATGCACGTGCCTGTAAACGCGTACAATATTCACGAGAATTCAAATATGAAACTTACCTGATACAATGATACAAGATATATGTAGTGTCAATTTACAACACACAATTTTATTCAAACAGCGACAAATAGTTTTCAGTCTGTCAATAATTGAACTGGCTCTCAGGACATGCGCTTCTTTATAGGATAGGTTTATACACGCAAAAGTGAAACCATCTAATTACATCACTATAGAAAAGGCCTCTAGCATTTCTTAAAACAAGAAATGTTTCATGATCTTTGTCTATTTAAACGATGTGAATTTGTTTATAAACTTTTTACAAAAACGCATACATACACACACAAAGTCTATTCGTTTCCGCTATACCACTGAATTAGTGCAATAAGTTGAAGCGAGACAAGTATATGTTTTCTCACTTCAACTTATTGCACTAGTTCAGCGGTGTAACGAAAACGAACAGACCTACAATTGTTAAAATATCGTTATATAAGCACATTACTATCGTGGTTTTAAATTACTTAGATAGAGAGAAATGCTCAAAATAGTATGCAAACATTTAATGATATTTTGCGAGGTAATTGCAACAGCAAATGTTTAAAATATGCTTATTTTAAGAAATACTCATTATTTTATTATGGTATAATTTTAATCCAAGTGTTGACTTATTGCGTTGTTTTTCGCGCAAATAAGCAGCAGTATTTATAGCATCAGAATATCGTCGCAATTTTCACGGCATCAGACGATCTTTCATATATTGACGAAATGCCTGAATGAAGACGCATGTTAACGTAATGATGTTAGCCACGATGCGGACAATATATATATGTCGGAATATCTGTCTGGATATTTTTTCAAATACAATATTAACATTAAAGAACTTATTATGTAAAAAGTGTTTTTAATCATTAGCTACAACTAGAACTCATTGTATAAGAGCAAATTCCTAATATTTATTTTCTTACCCTCAATATAATTGTATTCACACAACTTTCTCCGAATTTCATTGGTAATTATTTTTACCTTCGAATCAAAATATGAAAATTAAATAGAAAAATCTAGATTTGAATTTTAAGGTGTTCTAGCTTTGTAAGTAAAAATATTATATATCGACCATTTTTTTCAATATAAGATTGCAAAGCATAAAGATGTCAAACGTATAAGTAATTTGTGGCCCTGATAAGGGCCGTTGATTTTGAGAGCAATCATTCACTTAGAGCTGGTGTACTTGGTGACTGCTTTGGTGCCTTCGCTTACAGCGTGCTTTGCCAGTTCTCCGGGCAAAAGAAGTCTAACCGCCGTTTGGATCTCCCGAGATGTGATGGTCGATCGCTTGTTGTAATGCGCCAAACGCGAAGCTTCGGCGGCGATACGCTCGAAGACATCATTGACGAAACTGTTCATAATGCTCATCGCCTTACTGGAGATTCCGGTGTCGGGATGCACCTGCTTCAAGACTTTGTAGATGTAAATGGCGTAGCTCTCCTTCCTCTTCCTTTTCTTCTTCTTATCGGTCTTGCTGATGTTTTTCTGGGCCTTGCCGGCCTTCTTCACCGCTTTGCCGCTCGCTTTGGGTGGCATGCTGTAGCTCGATCTCTTCGCTGAATAACGCACTCGTAACTTTCAAGACGGGTGTCTGTGGAGTAGCGCTCGAGTGCAACCCTTATATGCAGAAAAGCGACGGCGGCGGCGCACCAATCACGTGGCGCGCCTCCGCCAATCGTTACGTTCCCCGCACGCCATTGGTCGCTCGGCGCGCCACGTTACGGTATAAATAGTCGACGCGAGACCACTGCCGTCACAACCAGCTGACGCAACATCCACGGAGGATCTATCTATAGAGAAGATTTTCATTATCGCTCGCAAAGATGTCGGGACGCGGAAAAGGTGGCAAGGCTAAAGGGAAGGCTAAGTCTCGTTCCAATCGTGCTGGACTGCAGTTTCCTGTCGGTCGTATCCACAGACTCCTGCGTAAAGGCAATTACGCTGAACGTGTAGGTGCTGGCGCTCCGGTTTATCTCGCAGCTGTAATGGAATATCTGGCGGCTGAAGTATTGGAGTTGGCGGGGAATGCTGCCCGCGATAACAAGAAGACCAGAATTATTCCGAGACATCTACAACTCGCTATCCGTAATGACGAGGAGTTGAACAAACTGCTTTCGGGTGTCACCATCGCTCAGGGTGGTGTACTGCCTAACATCCAAGCGGTCTTGCTGCCAAAGAAGACCGAAAAGAAAGCCTAACAAGCAACTGAGTTACAAACGGCCCTTTTTAGGGCCACCAATTCAAATGAAGAACATCTTATTCGCAATCGAATTACCTTCCTACCTTATTCGTATATATTTACAAAGAAATGTGGGAATATAATACATAGCTTTCTTTTTTGAACCAAGTAATCCTTTGTACAAAAATATTATATCTATGTCAATAACTTAAAATATTTAGTTACTCGTTAATTTTAGATATATTTACGTTTTTAATCTTAATGTATCAACGCATTGTATAATTAGTGGTATTTACAACTTAGTCACATGTACGGGTTCTTCTGCTCATTTATAATTTCGCTTACATTACATTTATCAAGCGTTCTGCTTAAAATTCCTAAGTCAGTCGCTGCAATTGTCCTTGTTTGATAACATCAAGAATGGGGAAACATGTCAAGAATTTAAAAAGTCAAGAAATGTAAATACGTAATGTAAAATTTAAAAACGTTTATCAAAAAGTCAAGAAGTGCAAATAGTTGTATTATGCAATTTAAATAACGTGGAAATGATGAACTTTTCTTTGGTAAAATAAAATTCTTGGTTTACTTGAGAGTCGAAACGACAATATTATTACACTTATCTTTCTGTATTCTTAAGATTACAAGTTTATAGATTCGAATCATTCAAAACAGATTTTAATGTAAGTTACGTACAAAAACTTTTCTGCCTTTTGGTCGTGTTATTAAATATCACCGCTAACAAACAACCGCTTAATAAATCATATCGCTCAAAGAGAAGGATTTCACAAAAACGAAAAAATATATTCTTATATTGATTTAAAATAATGAATAGATAGTAATAGAAACATGCCTTAGCTTAAAACATTCATTTCCATTATTATGTTGCGCATCTCCATAACGGGACCGGCTGTATAAGCTTTCCATTGATTATGCAAAATTCGTTACATATATTATTCCGTTTTGTTTCGCGCTTAGTTCTTGACATATTCATGGGCTTCTATCTTCTCTTATCATAAACAAAGAAGTGCGTCTGCTATCGTATCTGTGTAAATAATGTTTATGTTTTACAATTGAACGTGTTCAACTATAAAACGATATAACAGAAGATCGCACGCACAGGAAAATAAAAAAAACGCAAGCATAGTGATCGAATACAAAGGAATAATACATTTCAAAAAACGTAAAATCTTTCTGTCAGACACCACGTCAATTCACCAAACGTTCTTGCGAAATTTTTCGTGCGCTTTCCGCTCGCAACGCCTTACATAACGCTCCTGTGAAAATAAACTGCAGAATACAATAAATCCTCAGACTCGACGTGTTGACAAATCGACAGAATCTCGAGTCATTTGACTTATATATCGCATTTAACAAATTCAACACCACAAATTTATTTAACTCTATCCACACACACCATATTTTTTACATCTATTTTATATAAGATTATAGTAATAGTTTATATAATATATATTGCGTTCAAAAGAGAAACTTCGTGTAAATAAAGAAAAAATAACATAAGCGACGCCGGTTTCTCGTGAGAGATCGGAGCATCAGGTATAGATTATCGCGTGTGACGCTGGATAAAACGGACTCGTTTATGGCGAAAAACTTACATAGGTACTGCTAGTTTGGAATAATGTGGAATCTCCACAGCATACGTCGGGTGATTTCCTTCGCTCACCCAGATCGTGCCGTTCTCAGCCTTCCGTAAAAGATACAGCAGCGCGCGCGATACATTGCCAGCCGTCTGTGCCTCCAGTTGTATCGCATTGAAAGTATCACTGTCGACGAAGTCCAACATTTGTCCGGGCTTTACATTAATGATCGACGTGGACGTGGCGCACGGGCATAACGTAAGGACACGTACTTCACTCAAGTAGTGAAAATTTGCCAGGCATTGGCTGAATCCGACCACTCAGTACTTACTGGCACAGTAGATCGGTATATTACAAACTTGCACGCTCAGTCCGCAAATGGATGAGACGTTGACGATCACACCGCCTTTGCCGCCTTTGTGCTTGCCCATGTGATCTAGGGCCCGTAACGAGCTACGTATCACCGACGTGAGATTCACATCAATTACCTGCTCTATTTTTCTCTCCTGTATTATTCCAGCACTGTTAATGAGAATGTCGAGTCCGTCGAACGTGTCCACGATCTTCTGGAACGTCGCCTCGAACTCATTGGCCTTCGTTAAATCGCAAGGGAAGAAAACGACGCGATTTTTGCCGTACTTATCCTCGAGCTCAGCCACTTTCGCCCGACCCTGCGACGTCGGTAAGTCCACGATGGCGACGTCCTTGCGCCATTACCCAACAAGATTTTGACGAATTCGCTGCCTATACCGCCGGCTCCGCCGTTGATCATAACGACTTTATCTTGCGGGTCTATTGTACGAGTGATTCCTTCCTTTTACAAAGTCTGGGAGGGAAACCATACAGCGGTTCGTAGCACAGTTGACGTTTTAAATACTACACTACCACAGCATTATAAATTTTAATGCCTTTGATAAAAAATAATCATGAAACAAATTTGTTTTGCAAATACGTTCTGTAGGATATTCACGTTCCAATATGATATACAGACTTGCATTATTGACTTATTATATTATCAGTGGAGACTAGCACAGGAATATATACCTGCAATATACATCTATCAAAATATTTTTTACAAATATCAGTTTAAACAATTATTGGTAAGATGATACGTTAAACATTTAGATACTTTCAGCACCACTAATACCTCTGAGCAATATTATCTCTAACTTCCACATATGTATCACTGTGTAAGAAACAAAAAGTTGTAATCGATGCTCATTATTTGTTGTGTGTAAGTCAGAGATATCAGAGGTAGTGCCAGTAATTTGTATATTTACCGAGCGTGCAAAATCTCTACGACACTAATATATCGGACAAGGAGTGCATGATGTTAAAAGAGCAGTCATGCGGTAAAACTCGAACCCTCATCAGAAACCAATTATTTGTTAGTTCGTGAGAAAAAAGTCTGCCATAAACGTATGTAAAACATGATTTCTCAAACTGTGTAAACCGTTTCTTAAAATTATAAACCTCCACGATTCATCCAATTTTAATAGATATAAATAAATTAGGAGAAAGGATACACTGAGGTTATTTATATTACCTTACTGCTATTACTTTTTATTTGTTTATTGAATATAATTTCATAAATTTATTAATAATAGATATACGATTTTGCAACGCATTCCGTCCATATAGCTATATGTTGATACGTCACGAGGATATGCAACAAATATATAGCTGGCTTGAGATTGTAAAACTACGCAAAATGATGAAGTATTATATTAAAAAATTTGTTTGAGACCCATGCTTAGGAAATTTTTGGTTTAGAGCAAACTTTGCGGAAAGAAAATAGTAATTTCGAAAGGGTCGAAAAACTTGCAAAATCATTATCAATAACATAATTCTTAACGAGATTACTTTTAACACGTCTTGTGTTCGAGATACCTAGAGCTTTGTTCAGGATAGCGAATCCTTGAATAGGACATGTATTGATACAGATGATAGAAGAAATATTGATAAATATGCGGTTAATTTTTATAAGCTCCTGATAAACATGGCTGGATGGAATGCAGAAATGATTGTTAAGTTCCATCAAATAAAATTGATGGTAAACAGGGATTACAAAGATGCATAATATTGAAAGAAGATAAAGTAAGTATAAGTATTTATAGCAATTAAACTTATTATATCTCCTTCTCACTCTCTCTCCCTCTGTCTCTCTCTCTCTCTCTCTCTCACCCCCTCTCCCTCTGTTTCCTTATAGTTATTATTCATAAGATAAATCTTAACTATTTAAATTGCGCTTCTTATTATTCATGGCTTGGCTATATGCAGTTACATTGGTTATTTAACGTCAGACACAGGAAATGATAAGCAGTACACTTTTTGCAACAGTTTTATTTTTTGATGCAATGATAACAAGATCTTACGCACAGAAAAATAAAAAAAAACGCAAGCGATTCGATCGTTTACAAATGATACATTTTCAAGATCGTTAAATCTTTCTGTCAGACACCGCATCAATTCGCCCAATGGTATCGCGAATTCTTTCGTGCGCTATTGGCTCATGACATTTTACATAATACTTCTGTGCTCCTAAACTGCAGAATACAATAAAACTTCAGATATGTTGAGAGATCGATAGAGTAATAGAGTGTGGAGTAATTTGACTTATCTACCGCATTTGACAAATCCAACAAAATTTTTTTAACTCTATCCATACGCACCGTATTTTTTACATCTATTTTATATAATATCATAATAATAGTTTATACAATATATTGTGTACAAGAAAGAAACTTTGTCTGTGCAGATTAAGAAAAAATAACATATGCGACGCCGGTTTCTCGTGAGAGATCGGAGCATTATGTATAAATGATCGCGTATAATGTTGGCCAACGGATTCGTTAACGACGAAAAACTTACATAAGTACAGCTAGTTCGGAAAAATGAGGAATCTCCACAGCGTACGCTGAATGATTTTCTGTGCTCACCCAGATCGTGCCGTTTTTAGCATTCCGCAAAAGATGCAGCAGCGCGCGCGATACATTGTCAGACGGCTGTTTCACCAATTGCTTCAGGTTAGAGACATTAAAGTTGACGATGTCCAGCATTTGATCGGGCGTTACATTAAGTATCGGCGTGGACGTGAAGCCCGGGCATAACGTAAGGACACGTACTTCGCTCAAGTAGTAAAAATTTGCCAGACATTGGCTGAATCCGACCACTCCGTACTTACTTGCACAGTAGGTCGGTATATTACAATCTTGTACGTTCAGTCCGTAAATGGACGAGACGTTGACGATCACACCGCCTTTGCCGCCTTTGTGTTTGCCCATGTGATCTAGGGCCCGTAGCGAGCTGCGTATCACCGACGTGAGATTCACATCAATTACCTGCTCTATTTTTCTCTCCTGTATTATTCCGGCACTGTTAATGAGAATGTCGAGTCCATCGAACGTGTCCACGACCCCCTTGAACGTCGCCTCGAACTCATTGGCCTTCGTTAAATCGCAAGGGAAGAAAACGACGCGATTTTTACCGTATTTATTCTCAAGCTCGGCCACTCTCGCATGACACTGCGACGTTGGCAAGTCCACGATAGCGACGTTCCTTGCGCCGTTTTCCAGCAAGATTTTGACGAATTCGCTGCCTATACCGCCAGCTCCGCCGTTGATCATAACGACTTTATTCTGCGTGTCCATTGTACGAATACTTCCTCCCTTTTACAAAGTCTTGGAGAGAAACTATACAGCGGTTCGTAGTACAATTGTTCGTTTTAAATACCAAACTATCACAGCATTATAAATTTTAATGCCTTTGTTAAATAATAGTCATGAATCAAATTTGTTTTGCAAATACATTCTGTATAATTCTTACATTCCAATATAATTTATTGACTTGCACTACCGACTCAATATATTATCAGTGGAGACTAGCACAAGAATATATGCCTGTAATATATATCTATCAAAGTATTTTTTTTACAAATGTCAGTTTAAAGAATTATTTGTAAGATCATACATTAAATATTCAGATACTTTCACCACCACTAATGCCTCTGTGCAATGTTATCTCTGACTTCCACATATATATCACTGTGTACCAAACGAAAGGTTTTAATCGATGCTCATTATTTGTTGTGTGTAAGTTGGAAATATCATAGGTGGTACCAGTAATTTATATATTTCCCGATCATGCAAGATTACACTAATCAGGATATATCGGACAAGGAGGGCGTGATGTTAAAAAAACAGTCATGCGGTAGCACTCGTGCCCTCATCAGAAACCAATTATTTGTTAGTTCGTAAGATAATAGTCTGTAATTTAACACATGTAAAACATGATTTCTTAAATTATGTAAACCGTTTTTTTTTAATTATAAACCTCCACGTTTCATCTAATTTTAATGGATATAAATAAATTAGGAGAAAGGATACACTGAGGTTATTTATATTACCTTACTGCTTTTATTTTTATTTGTTTATTGAATATAATTTCATAAATTTATTACTTATAGATATATGATTTTGCAACGCATTCTGTCCATATCGCTATATGTTTGGGTTAAGATTGTAACACTACGCAAAATGATGAAGTATAACGTTTTAAAATTTGTTTGAGACCCATTCTTAGGAAATTTTTGGTTTAGGGCAAACTTTGCGAAAAAAAATAGTAATTTCGAAAGTGTCGAAAGACTTGTAAAAGCATTATCAATAACATAATTCTTAACGAGATTACTTTTAACACGTCTTGTGTTCGAGATGTCTAGAGCTTTCTTCAGTACAGCGAATCCTTAAATAGGACATGTGTTGATACAGATGGTGGAAGAAATATTGATAAAGATGCGGTTAATTTTTATAAGCTCCTGATAAACATGGCTGGGTGGAATGCAGAAATTATTGTTAAGTTCCATCAAATAAAATTGATGGTAAACAGGGATTACAAAGATGCATAATATTGAAAGAAGATAAAGTAAGTATAAGTATTTGTAGCAATTAAACATATTATATCTCCTCCTCACTCTCTCTCCCTCTCTCTCTCTCTCTCTCTCTCTCACCCCCTTTCCCTCTGTTTCCTTATAGTTATTATTCATAAGATAAATCTTAACTATTTAAATTGCGCTTCTTATTATTCATGGCTTGGCTATATGCAGTTACATTGGTTATTTAACGTCAGACACAGGAAATGATAAGCAGTACACTTTTTGCAACAGTTTTATTTTTTGACGCAATGATAACAAGATCTTACGCACAGGAAAATAAAAAAAACGCAAGCGATTCGATCGTTTACAAATGATACATTTTCAAGATCGTTAAATCTTTCTGTCAGACACCGCATCAATTCGCCCGATGGTATCGCGACGAGAAACTTACATAGCTACAGCTAGTTCGGAAAAATGTGGAATCTCCACAGCGTACGCTGGATGATTTTCTGTGCTCACACAGATCGTGCCGTTTTCAGCATTCCGCAAAAGATTCAGCAGCGCGTGCGATACATTGTCAGACCGCTGTTTCACCAATTCCTTTGGGATGAAATCATTAGTGTCGACGAAGTCCAACATTTGATCGGGTTTTACATTAATAAAGGACGTGGACGTGGCGCCCGGGCATAACGTAAGGACATGTACTTCGCTCAAATAGTGAAAATTCGCCAGGCATTGGCTGAATCCGACCACTCCGTATTTACTGGCACAGTAAGTCGGTG